TTCAAAAGGGCTCTCCCAAAAGAAGTTCTGAGAATGCGGTCCTTAATAGATGCATCGTTGGAGTAAATTTATGACTCATTGAGTTCAATACATGAAAAGACACAACCGTTCTGCAAATCCTCTTTTTAAAAAGCATAATTTCACTTTAATTTCCCATCTAAGGCACTTTGCTTTTTTTCCTAAAACAACGTTTTGACCATTCATTGGTAATAACTGGCAATGTAGGTCAAGAAGACAGGGGACAAGTCCAGTGACTGCAGAGCCTTCCAGAACAACGCTAACAGCCCAGCAGCTGCACAGGCAGGAAACTAACAAAGCCACCTGTGGTTGATATAAGCCATCTTATATGGGAAAAGTGGACTCCCTCTGAAGAGGTGACTGCGGGTGTGTTGGCAGGAGAAGAGGAGGAAAGTTTCAAGCAGCAGGTGGGGTTTTGGGCTAATGGGAGTGTGCTCAGGCCTGCGACCAGAGCCAGCCTCCCCAAATGAGCTATGGCCAGAGTGGGCTTCCATCTCCCGTTGGACTCTTCCTGCAGCTTTGGACCCTATGGGGAGTTAGATAAGTCTCTGTGTCCTCCAGGTGAATGTAAATATCCACATGGTAATACTCTATCCTATTAATAAAGATGTAGAGTCCCTTATGAGGTTTTAAAGGATGCCATTCTTTATGGGGTGGGAAGTAGAGGAAGTCTACGCTTTCCACACTTGCTGTTTATAGTCAGGTGGTCAACATAAAACAGCTCTTGCCTCAAAAGGAATAAGAGGTAGTTTATTCTTGAGTCAAATATGAGTGACCATGGCCCAGGAATATGGATCAGGATATACAGAATAACATGTTCCATTGAAGAAGCACTGACACAAGGCTCATCAGCCACTGCATAAACAAAAGTTATAAACCAAGGCATTTATCAAAGACATTTGTGGGAACCACAGAGTACATGCTTTCTGATAACATTTGTAGCTTAGAATACAGTTCAAAGATTTTACCTTCTAGTCAAAAGATACTGGTCAGGTAGGGGTGAGGGATGAATGGTTATTGAGAGGACTCACAATAGCCTGACAACTGGACCGTATATCTGCAACATTCTAACTCTCCATAATCACAAAGTTCTAGCCAGTCATTCAGCTGTGTAAAATCTTCAGTGGAGGCATGTTTGTGTGTGTGTGTGTATGTGTTTGTTTATATTTTATTTATTATTGTTATTTTATGTGTGATGCCTGGAACTGGAGTTACGGATGGTTGTTAGCCTCCATGTGGGTGCTGGAAATCAAGCCTAGGTCCTCTGTAAGAGCAGTCAGTGCTCTTAACAGCTGAGCCATCTCTCCAGCCCCAGAGGCATGTTTTTAAAAAATACAATTTTTGTGCCGGGCATGGTGGCACAGAGGCCAACCTGGTCTGCATAACGACTTCCAGGCCAGCTGAAGCTACGGGGAGACCCTGTCACAAAAAAAAAAAAAAAAAAAAAAAAAAAAAAAAAAAAAAAAAAAAACCTCACTTTTATTGGTTCTTTGAGAGTTTCATAGAATGTATTTTGATCATATCCCCCTTCCTCCAACTGTTTTTATTGTTGTTATTTAGGTTCATTTTGTTTATTGAAACGTTTTGGAGATAACTGTGAACTTTCAGGGAATCGTAAGGAAGAAAACACAATTCTCCTCTGTACATTTTAGCCAGTGTTCTCCAAATGGTAACATTTTGCAAAGTTAGATTATTTCTTTTTTTGTGGCAGAACCCAGAGCCTTACACATACAGAGCCACAACTGCCAGTCCTTAGAATAGTTTTATTTTCTCCTACTCCATCCCCACACCCCACTGTGTTTGAACTCTGGGCTTTGAGCTTAGCAAATGCTGTACCTATGAGCTACAGCCCTGACCCTTGTTTTTTGTTTGTTTGCTTGCTTTGTTTATTTTTATTTTTTAAGCTTCCCAGACTCTGATTTTTATCTCTAGAAATTCAATTCGGTGATTTAGATTTTCTGTAGGGCACAGGGGAAGGTGCACTGGGGCTGCAGAAGAGCAATAGAAAAATGATGGAAAACTTCTTGGTACCTGAAAATGGGAACGGTCCAACTTTAAGGTCTGGGTGCCCAGGACCACATACGGAGTCAAGACCATAACTGGCCATCAAGGGAGATGGGAAGTCCATTCTTAAGAATAAATTCTTCCAGGGTTAGAATATGCAAGTGACAGAAACCTCCCCTTCCCAGCATAAGCCCAACACAGAGGCAAAGCCACTGCCGTGCACAATCTGGGACCTTGAGGTGGGGGGGTTGTGGGGACTGCAACCATTCAGAGAAAAACTGCTGCCCAACATCGGAAAGTCCTCCATCCTCCCATCTGTTCCATCATCATCCCAGAAGGTGGGTTTTTGTTTTGTTCGTTTGTTTTCTGGGAAGTTAAGTTTATCCAGCAATTGTGCATACATATGTTTGTTTGCCTCAGTACTACTCAGTACCTTTTCGTAATTCAGTTTTCTGGATAATAATGATGAGGCTAATTTATCCTTATTGTTGATTAAAATGGAGAAGTAAGTATCTCACTAAATCATTATTAGAAAGAAATGAGATCTAGTGGCCTGAGAATCCTAGAATCATATCTTGGAGCAAATGCTGAAAGGCATGATTTGTTTTTCTAGAAAGATCTTTCTGACTTAAACATATACAGTACTTACAACATTTCCCAAATCATTTCCCAAATTGTTTCCCAAATCATTACTAGAAAGAAATGAGATCTAGTGGCCTGAGAATCCTAGAATCATATCTTGGAGCAAATGCTGAAAGGCATGATTTGTTTTTCTAGAAAGATCTTTCTGACTTAAACATATACAGTACTTACAACATTTCCCAAATCATTTCCCAAATTGTTTCCCAAATCATTACTAGAAAGAAATGAGATCTAGTGGCCTGAGAATCCTAGAATCATATCTTGGAGCAAATGCTGAAAGGCATGATTTGTTTTTCTAGAAAGATCTTTCTGGCTTAAACATATACAGTACTTACAACATTTCCCAAATCATTTCCCAAATATCTTGCCAGCAGAGAAGAACGCAGCTCCACATGGTTAAGATGCCTGGACATTGTCTGACAACACCATGTTAAAGTAGATAGTCATCCACAGTCAAGCAGAGAAGGAAAACTTGTGCTTTTGGGCGAGGCCTATTTTATGGCTTCCTCCCTAGAAGTCTAGACAGCGTGAACATAGATTCCTTCCACCACATGAATCCTCACTGAAGCTCTAAGGTTCTTAGCGCAATAAATATTTCGTGAACAACGGTGTGCCCTGTCCTACGGGAGGTGCTCAGAGTAGATCAAATATAAGTAAGACACCAACCTTAGCAGGAAGTACTTCGCAATATATCTAGGGCGAACACAATGAAAAGGTAAGTAACCACAAGATAGTATCTGGGACATGTTAAATGGACCGGAAAGTAGTTGAGGCTGTGGCAGTTACAGAGGAAAGGCTATTTCCTTGAGGTATTACAGAAAGGGGAGTTCATATGAGCTACACAGTTCCAAGGAAGGGACAAGGCATTCTGTTTGGCAGATATGTCAAGGTGAGTTCAAGGCAAATATATTTGGTGATTAGGATGTTGCTGCTGGCCTTCCGTAGGATGACTTACAAGAGAGGACAGTAGCATAAACCAGAGTGCTGGGAGCCACAGAGGAAATGGAATGGCCAAGTTTGATAGTGAAGGGAGGAAGTACAGTCAAGCATGAAGATTGTTTTCTTCTCATAAGGAGAAAATTGCTATTTTGAAGACAGAGGCACATGGATTTTTGAAGGGAAGGCATTTGATATATTTGACAGGCAATAATTAAGCTATAGAATCCCAGAGAGCATAATGTTGATAATGGAAAGAACCACAGGATAATTGATGGTGTTTTAGGAAGTAAATGAACTAGTATAGATTATATTTTTGCATTTTCTGTAAATAGATTAAGAAACTCAAATATAATGACCAATTATATTTAGTAATACAAGCAAGAAATTGGGGAAAAGAATTAGAAGTTTTTCCACATTTCTTTTAATTTTGTTCCCCATAGAACATTGTTATATCTTCTTTCAGTAATTTGATGAGATTATTTCTCACCTCAATAGAATACTATTTTCTTTTTTCTTTTTTTTTTGAGACAGGGTCTCACTATGTAGCCCAGGCTGGCCTCAATCTCACAGAGATCCACAAATGCTGGGACTACAGGTGTACACCACTATGCCCTGCTGGAATACTTAAATATTTTATATTTTGAGTACCCTCTAACATCCATGTGCTGAGGATTTGGTCCACAAGTCCAGGGTACTATTAGGAGGTGGTTGGACTTTTAGAGGTAAGGTCTAAAGGAAGGAAGTGAGGCCATTGGGTACATTTTCTTGAAGGGAACATTAGGACCCTGACCTTTTCCTCTCTTTCGCTTCCTGACCACCACCAGATGAGCAGGTTTCCCCACCATGTGCTCTCACCATGATATTCTGCCTCACTCCAGGGCCAAAGCAACAGAGCCAATCAACAATAATGAAACACGTATAACCTTTAGCCAAAATAACCTTTCCTCCTTCTAAGCTAAGATTATTTCAGGTATTTGATGCAGTGAGGAAAGCTGACACAGCAAGGCATGAAAACTGCAGATCAAAGCTGTTCTGGGGCTCTCCTCAGTCTCAGTCCCCGAATGAGAGATAAGAAAGAAGGGAGATATTGACACCCATGACACGTGCATTTACTTCCCCTCAGTATATCAGTATAGGTGTTTTCAGGGGTTCTCAGTAACAAGTGCAGGCCACATCTCACTAAATGACAATCAGTGTACCAATCACAGGGATAGCCAAGACATACTGACAAGTACTGGATTGGGGGAGGAACTAAAGCTAAGCCCTTCTGAGGGGGCTATGCTACCTCTTTGCTGTGATCAACATGAATGTTCCTCAACCCATCACAATGATTTCATTGTCATTTGAAGGAGGTGTTCTCAACATGGATTTCACAGGTAGTGTTCTCTTCTCCTCAGACACAGGTATGTTTGCAGTGGTGAACAGCCATTCCTTGTCCCTGATGGGGAAGCTGACGATCAGTGCTGCCTTCAACATTGTTTACATCTATACCTCTGAGCTGTACCCCACCGTCATCAGGTTTGGGTCTCACTTTACCACATCCCCTTCCTGCCATCTGGGCTTTGCTGACTGTTTTTGCAAGTAGACATGGCCTTCCCTACCCTCTGCATGGGCAGTCAGAAGAGCCAGAAGTAACTCAGTCATGATAATACAGAGCCTGTCTGGTGACAGCTCTTTGCCTGCTCAGCTGGCAAGCTGTAGCTTTGTTATGAGCTAAATTTCCTCATGAGACTTGAAGGAAGAGCCCTCTACTCTGGATGTACCCCATCTCCCAGAGGGGACAGGTGGCGTCTTTATTTTAGTGGATTTAATTTATTCAGTCACTCATCCAGGGTTAAGTATTGTACATAACAGACAAGGGGACAAGGTCCCTTTCTTACAGAGCCTATGTGTAAAAGACTATTTCATGTCAGGCCTGGTGGTCTATGCTTATAATCCTAGTGCTGGACAAGTCGAGTAGCGGAGGTGGGTGATCAGAAGTTCAAGGTCATCCTTGCTTACCTAGGGATTTAGAAGCCAGCCGAGGTTATAGGAAACCCTGTCTCAGAAAATTCATTTCATGTAGTAATGATTGAATACTAGATTTAAATATTAGTTATTTGTTGTTAAAGTGATTTTTGATGAGTAGTGCATGCATATGTAAAAAACAGTATCTTCCATCCTAAATTTCCCTTCATAAAACAAGTGTGAAAACAAGAGCAAACCCAGACTTGGTGGATGGGGCTGCAGCTTCGGCTGTGTTCCCTGTGACTGGTGCTCCCTCTGCCAGCCCTTTCCTAGTATTTACAGAATCCTGTGAAAGACTTCCTTGTTTCCCTTGTTCATGGAAGGTGCATGGGGTGCCTTTCCACCTATGGATCAGTTTGCAATTGTCTACTCATTCCTTGACTGTTCCTACAACTTGTTTTTTCTGGATCCTGGCTATAAAACTCAGATGGCATGCCAACCACACAGGGACACTTTAACAGCAAATGTAGATGTTAACAATTAGGCTGAGATAGAGTTCTATATGTTCATCCTTTCTAGACACATTACCATTCTCTGCTCCTTCCCCATTTTTATGCCTAAACTATTTATGAAGGTTGTGTTCTGGGTTACCTGACAATATGCACACATAATTTCCTATTTATATGTCTGACTTTTTAATAACTGAGTTTCAAAAAGTGAGCAAACTTTTCAGATCACAAAGCCTTGGTTTTCTGGCTGTATTAACTGATAAGAAAACTAAAGTTCAGTATATGCATAAGAAACACTCAAATGCTCATCTCTTGTTTTCTGTAGGCACACTGTGTAATATGGTAGTTGTTATCCTCATGTGACTATTTAGATTAATTAAAATTACAGAAATTAAAAATGAGTTTCCACTCACTGGTCATGGTGGAGGACACCTGTAATACCCAAGATTACAGGAGGATTACCACTGCCTAAGATCAGCCAGGGCCACCATAGCAAGACCCGGTTTAGAAAATTTTTTATCCTCACTAGTCACATTTCTGGTGACTTCCATATAGAATGTTGAGATTACGGAATACTTCCACCCTCACAGAAAGTTCTGTAGGCAGCACTATGCCTTCCATGTAGGGATACACTATTTTGGACCTGTTGTGTTCCCCCAACCCAGGATCTTTACATTGTCCCCCCCAGAAATTACTGATTTTAATTAATTAACTAATTAATAACTTTGCTTTTTCTTATGCCTTTCAGGAATGTTGGGCTTGGAACTTGCTCCATGTTCTCCCGAATTGGTGGGATTATTGCTCCTTTCATCCCCTCACTGGTTGGTTTGTACCTCCTGGCTTTGTTTTTCTTGATTCTCTCCTTCAGGAATCATTTGTGCTTTTGTATAGCAAGAGCTCATGACCAGATGGCAGCTAAGAACAGCCTATACAAATGTGAACCTTGTGTCTTTTGGAAGAAGAAACCAGTACTCTGCCAGGGCATTGGGCTGGGTTGTTTACTCCTGATGGGTCTGATGTTTTGTTCATCTCTCCTTGGAGGGTCCTCTGATACCAGTGAGCCCCTTCCCATCCCTATCCATAAGTGAATTAATGAACATCTATGTGTCTTTTACCATATGCTGGATTCTATGCTAAGTGCTCTTTCTGCTCATATCACTGCTTGTAGCCCTCACAGTGACTGTAGCAACCTTGTCACCTGCTCTAAAGGTGAGAAGTGCCACAGAGCATACCACCTGTAAAGAAAACTGAGGAGAAACATGCCTAGCAGTGTGTCTGCTCGTATCTTCGGCATTTTCTAAGTTGTACAGTCCAAAACAAGGGTGGGGATGGGGAGACGAAACGACCAACCCTTAAAATTTTCAGGATCTGTGAAAGAGCCCAGGGGCCTCAGGCAGATCTCTGATCTACAAAGAGAAAGTAGAAGATAGACATGAGCAATAAAGCTAGGAGAATGAGACCTGTGGATAGCCCAAGCTCTGTTTCCATTTGTCCAGCCTGATGACCTGCTGTAAAACCCAGTTTTCATGATGAAGCCTATTTTTAAAACAACAGAATGTATTAACCCTGGGATAGTACAGGTCTCACCTGACAAACATGAGGTCAATCACAAGACCTTGAGCAGTCTCCAAAAGGAGTTAGACATGAGGAACACTACAGCAGCTCCATGGCGTCTCAGTCTTCTGAGGGTTAGAATGCTCCTTCACAGTTAAATGTCATTGAGGCTGCACATGAGTTTTTCCTCCTTGATCAAAACTAAGGCTCCAGGCATTTTCTCATATATCTTACTAACAAAGGGTCTCCATCCTAAAATGATTATGCTATGTATTATAGTGTTTTAATATTATAATATCATTTGCATTGTGGCTTTGAAACCCCTTAGGGGCTTTTCTAGAAAATCTTGAGAAGAAATCCCTAAAAGTTAGAACCAGTCCACCATGAATTGGGAAAGCAAAAGGATCACCATACTCCATGAATATGCCACCTACTTTATAAATATTCATTGAAACCTCTTTAAAATTCACAACACGGGGGCTGGAGAGATGGCTCAGTGGTTAAGAGCACTGGCTGCTCTTGAAGAGGGCCCAGGTTTGATTCCCAGCACCCACATGGTGGCTAATAACCATCTGTAACTCCAGTTCCAGGGGATCCGACACCCTCTTCTGATCTCTGTGGGTACTGCATGACACGGGTGCATTTACATACATGCAGGCAATGCAGTCATACATATAACATAAAAATAATAAAATCCACAACACAGATCCCACTGTGCTGTTAAGCCACATTGGGGCAGCTTACTCCAATCTCTCTTTGAATTGCTTTCTTTGCCTTGATAAATAAACTAGTGTTTAAATTGTGTCTCTGGCCTACATTCTTTCTTTTGAGATAATAAGAAAGGAGAGACCCCATAATAGTCTGTCTATTGTGTGACTTCCCCCTCAAGACTTGTTGAAAGGTGACAAGCTTTGCCGTGGGGCTTCTGAACAGGTCCTTTACCCAGACCACTACACTCAGCACTCCCTAGCACACGTGTCTCTGAAACACTCTGTAGTGCAGCCTTTTCTATTTTTGAGGATCTCTCCATGTCTTATGCTAAAGTTTAGGCCAAAGGACCTTTTATGATGGAATCTCATTGGTTCCATGTCTTGTTTTGCAGACTGCATGGGACCTTAGGTGCCCTCTGCTAAAGTAGCTGACTGTGGATAACTGTCCTAGGAATAGTCCCCAGCACTCTCTCTGCTCATTCCTGGGAAGACAAATGTGTTCCCTTTGCCTCAGCAACACCCTCAGGCCTTGGCTAGTGTCTTCATATAGCCTAGAGATAAGAGATCCCCTATCCTCACTCTTTCTCCTCCTCCCCTCACTTTTCCCCTCTCATACCCTTCCCTCTCTCCATTTTTTCCTCCTCTGTCATCTCTTCATTTTTCAAAAGTTGGGGGAAGATGTTCCAGGAGGAATCTTAATTAGTACCCATAGAATTTGAAAATGCCAACCAAAAGGTCTTATTCTTAGCATCTTCTGTGGGAATTCCAGAATGGAATGTTCATTAACTCAGAGTGGGTTCCAAGCAATTATTGGGGGTTGTTTTTGAATCTCTGTGTTGAAACAAAACTTTAACTTTTCCTAAGAATATCTTTGGAATCTCTGGAACAATTGCTTGTATCACATGTTCAATTTAAGTAGCTAACAGACTATGTATGTGGTAAGATTTTTTTTTTTCCATAGTTTTTCCCCTTCAGTCTAGGACCTCTTAGTTATGGTCTTATAACACAATTAAAAACTTTGAAGTTCATTATCTGCAAATAATTTAGGGTATCTTTCATATTAAGAGAATATAGCCTGTTCCAGACTTCTGCTCTACATTTCCGTGCAACCCTTTGATTCACTCAGTCCTATCTCTGCATGCCTGAGGAATCATTCTTTGATTTCCCAGGGTAATTGTTTGGGAGCAAAGAACACGGTCCACGGTGTGTAGTTTAGTGGGAAGGCACTAAATGGGTGGTAAACATGACAGCTTTTAGTCATAAGACTGCTGATATCACTGCCAAGGAACTGACAGGTTTGTTTGTCCGTCCCCCCTCCCCTGCCTCCCCGCCACTGCCCCACAGAAGACTGTCCAGTGGTCTCTACCCTTCATCGTGTTTGGAGCCACCGGCCTGGCCTCAGGCCTCCTGAGCCTACTGTTGCCAGAAACCCTGAACAGTCCTTTGCTGGAGACGTTTTCTGACCTTCAGATGTGCTCTTATCGGCGGTTAGGGGAGGAAGCTTTGTCTCTACAGACCTTGGATCCTCCACAGGTATGGAGATATGTATTTTAACCATTCATGTCTTTTATTTGGATGAGAGGAGTTTTTGAGAAAAAAAATAGAGATCCAGTTGAAAATAGAATGGGAAGCAAAGGTAGAATTTAAAGATGGTTAAGGGTTTGTTAGCTTTTTTAGAACTCTAGGAACTGTTTCTTGGGACAAATTGATGTCATAAAAATACATTTGTTGAGGCTGAAGCTATAGCTCAGTTTGTAGAGTGCTTGCCTAGTACACATGAGACCCTGGGTTCAATTCCCAGCACCACCTAAAACTGGGTATGGTGATATACTCCTCTAATCCCAGAACTTGGGAGATGGAAACAGCAGGATCAGAAGCTCAAGGTTAACCTCAGCTACATAGCAAGTTTCTGGCCAGCCTGGTCTACAGACATTTATCATCTGAACAGCTGGGTGTGGGCATTCTCATTTTAGGAGTGTCATGACATAATTTCACTGCCTCTGCTTCCCTGTGCTGTTTCAGCCCTCTGACAAGACTGGCTCCTTAGGGAGTGAAAGTGAGGAAGAGGAAGAGTTCTATGACGCGGATGAGGAGACTCAGATGATCAAGTGAAGAGTGACAAATTCCTGCTCAGAAAGAAAGCGCCATCATCGTTAATGCCTCGAGCCCGAACACCTGTCAATGGTGCTCAGTGCACACTGACACTTTACAGACACAGGAGGCTGGAGGAGAAATTCCAAAAGAGAAAACCTCATGGCACTGAGAGAATCATAGTTAACTTAGTCCAGAATTGAAGCTGAGCTCAACACCATGACCTCTTGCCGTGCAGCTCAGGCCCACATTCCATACCGGGAGGCTGGCTAGCATCTAGCTGTTTGTTTCTGCTGCCTTCCTTCCAGTGACCTGAGAGCAGATGTGTGAAATGTCACTCTACTTTCCTAGGATTAGCCAAACCTTCCCTAAGATTTCATCTTTCTACCCAGCTTGACATCTGCCCCTGTCACTTGCTGCTCCTCACCGGAAATCTGGTGCCAGCTGGCGTGTCCAGAGGCCCTCCACCTTTGCCTCAGCTGATGAAATCTGAGTCTTTATCTGGTTCCCAACTCATGGTTGATGAAATAAATAGCTTGTGCCTTCAGTTCCAAGATCATTCAGTAGGAAAAGCCAAACTCAACAGAGTAGTTGACTAGGGTCAGAAGCCCTCCTATGACCTGGGGGCTCCCAACTTAAGTTATGTGGTTTCTCCAGTTCCCATTTGGGAACACTACCAAAAATATGTTTTTGTGAGATTCTAGATTCAGCAATAACTTCAAAATTGCACACAGTAGATAATAAAGCTTTGACTGGTAGAGGGCAGACTTTAAACGTGGTCTTTAAACAAGAGAACAAAGATTATCTTTCACAACTTTTGCTATCTTCAATGTGCAATGAAGGATTTGGATGTTTAAGTAGTTGAACTCTTGCCCTAAACTAGTCCCCACTAATTTTGTCAGAAGGCACGGTAATTTTTTAGAGAATGTTGGGTTTTCAGTAAGTGTTCCGCTGATTTTTTTTTTTCAAATGAATCACAACCACACTTAATTTCCTAAAACCATGTGCTGAAATACCTGTTTCTCATAAAACTTGAACACTTCTCAAACAGGAGTGTGAACCAGGAGTCCACGTGCTGGGCAATGTTCTTCTTGGTCACTTCCCCAGCTATGGAAATTACTCTGTGTTTCGAATTTCTATTTCTGATAATCTCTTAGAAATAGAAATTGTACAGAGGTGAAGGGAAGGTACCCTGTAGATGCTTCTGGAAAGGGGCCTCTAGATACACTCCTGGTCTTCTTCATGTTGAGTTCTTGGTTCACACTATATCCCTCTGTTCCCTTGTTAGAGGTTTTTTGTTTTTTGTTTCCTGTTTCCTTTATGCCTTTAATTATGTGTTCGGCTCTTGGTAAGTGGGAAGCCACCACTGTCTTTTCTCTCTACTATGCCCAAACATTGGCTCCCAGATACACTAAGGACCTCATAAATGATACTGTTTCCAGCCATTGGGGAGATTATGGAACCCCCCCGCCGACCCTAGCATCATATCTGCAATCCCCAAACTGTGGAACCCTGGGTCTCTTTTCTCTGGAAATGGAGCTCTGCCCTCCTTCAGCAGAAGAGGAAAAGAACTTACAGAAACCCTTGATTCTTGTTAAATGGTAGCATATTTAAAATAAAGTAATGAACAAATGTATATATAATTCTGGTTGACTCAAAATCTCTTTATAAAAATAATATAATCCATTACAGAAAAATTCCATACTAGAAGTTAGAAAATGTGCTCATCAGTCCAGATCCAGAGAAAATAATATCCCAGCCTTGCTCCCTGTGTAGATTTTTGGAAGCTTTACCCTCTGTTGGCACTGAAGTTCCTGCAACTTCTGGTTAAGTGAAGATCCAGTTAATTCTAGCCCTGCGTTTGCACTTTCCCAGCTCTGAGGTAGCCGGAAACACAGTTTGAATTATGCACTGCTTATAAGGCTGGGTTGGCTGTCAGCTACTCTTGCCAGATGTATTACTAGATGCTGCTGCTTTCTGGGTAGTCCCCTAGCAAAGTGTGATTATTATTTCCACTGCCTTTATAAAGATGGATATTATTCCCTATGATAACCATTAATGAATGTTATGGTACAAAATGTGCACATGTATATATGTGCATCAATTCAGTTATTGGAAAACTTTGATAGATAAGATTTGTGCAGACAATTCATAAAAAGCATCCTTTCTTTTTTTTTATTTTATTCAAACTTAAGATTTTTTTTTTTTTTTTGAGACAGGGTCTCACTGTGTAGACCAGGCTCACCTGGAACTCACAGAGATCCATCTGCCTCTGCCTTCCAAGTGCTGAAATTAAAGGTGTGCATCACCACATCTGGCCCCAAATTACGATTATTTCCTCCTGAAAAGTAATAAGAAAAAGGTAAGACAAATAAGAAACTACAAGATTTCAGGCCCACAGGTCTAACAGCTGGTCCAGAATCTTCATATTGTATGTTTTATTGAAACAATGACATAGTTTCTTGATTCATGGTCCTTTGAAAAGCCAATGCTTGCCTTCTGGCTGCTTCCAAGCAAGGTAGACATTCTTCAAATGATTTAAATATTTAAAAAATAAAAATGAACAAAGTAGCAAAATACAATAAATAAGAAGAAAACCACGTTTCTGAAGCACTACTTAAGTGACTATACTCCGACAGGAATTTTTGTGGCAATAATTGATGAAGATACTTGAGTAGATAATTTATATACAAAATTTCTTTTTTTGAGACAGAGTTTTCTTGTAGCCCCAGCTTGTCTGGAACTCACTATGGAGAGCAGATTGGCCTAGATCTCACAGAGATTCTCCTGCCTCTACCTCTCTCCTTTCCCCTTATAAATGTATATATGTACATATATATATATGCATAAAATGTAAAACATAAATGTGTGTAACTTTCATAAAAGAACATTTTTTTTTGCTGGGCACATCAACTGTTTCATTTTTTAAAATATTTTATTTTTATTTTATGTGTTTGAGTGTATTGCCTTCATGTATGTAACTGCACCCGTGTCGTGCAATGCCACTGCAACAGAAGTAGGAAAAGGATCCCCCGGAACTGGAGTTATAGGTGGTTGCTAGCCACCCTATGGGTGCTGGGAATCAAACCCCGGTCCTCTGCAAGAGCAGCCAGTGCTCTTAACTGTTGAACCATCTCTCTAGCCCCAACTGTTTCATTTTTTTTTTTTTGTCATTTTTGACAGGAGATCAGCTTTATGACCTATTAATGAGTTGTAAACTAGAGTTTGAAATACATTATTCTCTATCTTCTTGTACTGCAGAGGTTTTTAAGTCTAAAAGTGTACACTGCCTGAACTCCCTTGTACCTATGCTGCTTAGTGCAATTTAGCTTCAGTCAATGAGGCATAGATGGAATTTAAACTCTGGAGGTGAGGTAGAGATCTGCCTTTTACTGCTGGGCTTCGCTGTGATGGAGCCATTTGATCTCAGGAAGTATCACCAGAGATGTGGCTAGTTGGGGGCAATACTAATTGAAGTAAAAATCCAAAAAATAGTTAAGACCAAAAAAAGAGCAAATAGAAGAAACTAGATTTCTCAATTTTTGAAATTGTAATTTCATTTTAATTAAAAAAAAAAAAAGGAGTAATATGGTGGCATAAACCTTTAATCCCAGAACTTAAGAAGCAGAGGGGGCAAATCTGTGAGACAGAGATCAGCCTGATCTAAATATCAAGTTCTAGGCCAGCCAGTGCTACATAGTGAGACCCTGCCCCCCCCAACAAAAACCAAGTAGAGCAATAAAACATAAGAGAAATTCCAGAAGCCGGGTGTGGTGGTGCACACCTTTGATCCCAACACTTGGGAGGCAGAGGCAGGCGAATTTCTGTGTGTTTAAGGCCAATCTGGTCTAGCGAGTTCCCGGCCAGCTGGGGCTATAGGGAAACCCTGTCTCAAAAAGATTAAAAAAAAAAAAAAAAATTACAGAAAAAGAGCAAGCCCATATAATAGATTGCCATTTTATTTGCCCCTATTATAAGAAAAAAAGATTAATATACAGAATACTTATGAAATTACTGCAAATCAAAAAAGAAATAGAAAAGCTTATAGAAATATAATGAGACAATCCACAGGTGAAAAGAAAACCTCACTAAAGGATTGGGAAAAGGCAAATTGAACTATCATTAAGATGTCATTTAAGCCTGTGGCGTGGTGGCACACACCTTTAATCCCACTCGGAGGCAGAGGCAAGTGGATCTCTGTGAGTTCAAGGCCAGCCTGGTCTACATACAAGTGAGTTCCAGGCCAGCTGGAGCTACAGGGAGACCCTGTCTCAAAAAGACAAAAAAAAAAAGTTATTTAAAATCCATTAGATTAGGAAAAATGAGTTAGACTACTAAATGTTAAAAGTGAGGAAAAGGGAAATACTAATAAGCATAAATTTATTCATCAACTAGATTATTATTAGCAAATCATATTGAAAATGTGACTAATCTGGGGCTGGAGAGATGGCTCGGCGGTTAAGAGCACTGACTGCTCTTGCAGAGGATCTGGGTTGGATTCCCAGCACCCACATGGTGACTCCATTTCCAAGGGAATCCGAAGCCTCTTCTGACCTCCACAGCATTGCACTACACGGTGCACTCACATACATGCAGGCAATACACTCATACACATAAAAATAATAAAATATTTTTAAAAAAGAAAATGTGCCTATTCTATAATTCAGAAATTCTGCCCTTTTGTATATATCATCAAACATTGGTTTTTGTTTTTTTATTTTTGGAACTTATTAACATAACTCATTATAAGAAACATTTTGCATGTGACAACAACACATAACACATAACAAATTATTTTATAAAAATGATAACTACCCTCATCTCTTCACTCTTTGTATTTTCTATTTCACCTTAAAAAGAAAAGAATACTGGTGATGTCACTGAGATGATTTTATAATACATGAAGCCAAAGCATGCTGTTGTACAACACGAGGCATACTATCCTTGTCTGCCATAGCTCTTGCCTACTGTATTTGTGTGCAAGGAGACATGGACAAAGAGGTTCATTGTATCATTATTAGTTGTTGTAAAACAATGAATTTGTGTGTGTGTGTGTATGTTGAGGTTGGCATATCACAAGAATGAGTGACTGGAATACTTACTAATGAAAACAATTTGCTCCTTTCTGGGCAATACTTTCTAATCAGGATAATTAATATTCTGTCACAGAAATATGGAAGTCTTGCTCTTATTCCTACCATATGAAGAGGTTTTCCTTTTCTCCATGGAGAAAGTCTACCCATGTGGCCACATGTTGACCCAGATTTTTCCTAAAATATATCCTTGTATCTGTGGAAACATCTAGACAATTTTATAGCCACTGTGTTATAAAGCTTAGAAGAACATATGTATAACTAAATTAGTATTAAAAGGAACTCAGTCTAAACCTTGTAGAATAATTGGTTTTAAATAAAACTGATTCTTAAAGATTATCTTTACTTCAAAGCATAACATCAAGAAACGGAATTAAATGATTGTGTGTGATGAACAGCACACACACATGCCCCCAGCTTGGAGAAGAGTTTAATAAATGAGGCTCCAGTATGTGGGCGGGATGGTGAGAAAGCCACCTAGAGAGTCTGTGAGAGTCAGTCCTCTGGAGCAGCAGCCTGAGGAGGAAAGATGCCACCACAAGCATGTGGCAGTTCATGCCTCAGAAGATCAGGGCTTCAGGACTGCTGAAGCTATACTGTTCTTGCTGGCAGTAGCCAACCAGATTCCTTTTACTTCCTTAGAGCCGCTTTTATTATTATGGATGCATTTTACCACATGCATAGGATACTTGTTCCCTATTTGCTGCTGTAGTCCATATGTTTTCACTATGCAGTGGGCTCCAGTTCTGTGCACTTGAATGTAAAAGAAGAGGGATTACAGTACACTAACCCCATCTACAACTGGAGTGTGATCTGCCAAACAACCTCCCTATCCTTCTTAGTCAGTCGTTACTGAAGAATCCTAGTAACTGCAGGGTGACATCAAGCTCGCCTCACCACACTGATGACGCTTTTGGAAGAAAACAAAGTGATCATGATTAGCAAAGCACACACACACACTGGTCCATGCACACATGTGCACACCCATTTCCCTGATAATACAATATAGTAAAACAATGACCCAAAACGGATTGGTATGTCTATAATAATACTAGTTCTAATGTAGCAGTTAAAGTAGTTCGTAAGGAAGAAAATTGGCAGAAGAGCGGTTTGCTTTCAAATAATGTTCTCAGATTATGGAAATCAACATTGCCATGATAGTTTACACTGAACAGATGCTTAACCAAGGAGGAGAGGAGGGTGGAAACCATTTGTTTTCACAGAAGAGTGACTGCAGAAAATACCAATGGTTAGGAAGTGCCAACCAAGCCAACTTTCCTATGAAGATTACTCCCAAGGGCCTCGCTAGTTGTCATGAGTAATGGGAAAGTTAGCTTGAATTATCTGGGTGGGTTGAGTCCATCTTTGATGGGGGCAGTGATGTCAGGGGGGTGGTCCTTTCCCATTACTGCTGACTCTGAGCCTGGACATGATGGTTTTAGAGGTCAGAGTACAAAATCAGTCTTAAAACTCCTTCAAATAAAGATGTCATCAGGACTGTTTCCCTGATTCTCTAGGGAAACAGTCATTCCTTCCTTCTTGTAGCTTCCAGAAGTTTTCTTTAGCCCTAATGACACCACATTCCTATATGATGATATGGCCTTTTACTCACTCTGATTTTCTCCCTCCCTCAAAGATGGACTCCTGTAATCACATCACCCCACCCAGAAAATTCAAGCTAACTTTTCCATCTGAAGGTCCTACCCCTAATTACACCTGCAGTATATTTTTAAAAATATTTTATTATTTTTATTTTATGTGTATGAATGTATTGTCTGCATGT